TCAGAGGCTTTGCTTTCTTACAACTGCAGATTCTGGCACTGATCCCACAGTTATTGGCAGAGAATTTCTAAACAAAGACCTGCTAATCTGCATTTTAACAGTGTTTGCAGGTGATTCAGAAGCACTGATGTTTGAGAACCATTGATTTAGATGTACCATTTCCTGCAAAATTCCTCCCTTCTCATGGCATCCTCTAATTAACTCATGGTTATTTAATAATATCTCAGTCCCAAGGTATGAACTAAACATGAGGGTAAATAAGAATGAAGTGGAAAAATGGAAGAAATCTGAAAATTGAATCTTTACTCTTCTAGTCCCTGGCTGCCAAGCTGTGTAAAGAGTTACCTAGGCTTGAAAGTTGGGAAGCAAAAGGAGATGCCACAGAGACTTAGAACTATTTTCATTCCAATGCCAGTCCTTAGACTAATTGAAACTTCAAAAATTGGAGTGAAATTTAAAGTTGCTTCAATATACAAACCATATATATATATATATATATATATATATATATAATTTTTAATGTATAGTTATTTGTATACTATATATTTACATGTAGATATGTATGTGTGTGTGTGTATGAGTGTGTATGTATATATAAAGAAAAAAAAAAGATCTTAGAAGATAGAAAGACTTCCCATGTGCTTGGATAGGAAGAATCAATATTGTCAAAATGGCCATATCACCCACAAGCAATATACACATCCAATGCAATTCATATATATATATAGTGTGTGTGTATATATTAAATAAGAAGCAGCTTTGACAAAAACTTTACATGCCTATGATTCCTCCACTCTCAGTTATAGTTAGAAGACTCTCAGGCAGCATAAAAATTTTTCTTGAATGTTGAATACATGGAATAGCAGTGGCAGAAGTAATCTCTAATCGCCAGGGTGCATTGGCTCAACAAAATTAATTGTCCCACCTAAGAATGCATCAGGGGACTTTGATAGCCCCAACACCAAGTTTAAGCTGTCAGTAGGATATTGTTTTTAATTTAGTCTTTTCCTTTCTTATAACCATGTAGCCTAGGAATTATGCTAATCTTCCACAAGTAAGAAACTAAGGGAAAAAAAAAAGCTGACCCTCAATAAAACTCCAATATCATAAATTATATAATTCCTCTGCATTTTTCCAATATTTATCTTTAAGTGCCTGAAATATTTTGGGGAACATTACCATTAAAATTCCCAAAGTTGGCTTCCTAAATGCTGCCTTTTGAATGGATCAGGTTAGAGATGGTGGCTTTTCTATATCACTCTGTCTGGAAATGACACTTCCCTGGCTGTTCAACAAAACCTGTTCAATCAGTTCACACACTTTGGATCTTCATTCCAAAAAAAAAAAAAAATGGGAGAGTTTCTGGAAGAGATTGTTATTTTCACTCCTCAAATGATCAGAAATCAATAGTTTTCCTATAGTCCAATAGTAATTTAGCCAAATAAGAAATCAGGAAAACCATCCCATTCGCAATAACCTAATAAACCTTAAAAAGAAAAAAAAAAAAACTGTAGTATTAATCTAACCAAGAGGCAAAAGAGCTCTAAAATGAAAATTATAGAATACTAAAAAAAAAAAAAAATCTTAGAATATAGAAAGACTTGCCATGTTCTTAGACAGGAAGAATCAATATTGTCAAAATGGCCATACCACCCACAAGCAATATACACATCCAATGCAATTCCCATTGAAATACCAATGATGATCTTAACAGAATTAGAAAAAAAAAATCTTAAATTTATTTGGAAGAATAAGAGACCAGAATAGCCAAAACAATACTAAAAAAATGCAAGAGGTATCATAATATTTGGACTTGCATTATCCTGTAACACTTTTGTAACAAAAACACTATTGGCATCAAAATAGACACAAAGTCCAATGACCAATGGAACAGAATAAAATACACAGCTACAAACCCACTTAAATATAGCTGTCTAATATTTGACAAAGGCACCAAAAATATATTTTGGCAAAAAGACTTTTTAACAAATGGTACTGGGACAACTGGGTAGCTATATGTAGAAAAATGACACTAGCACCCTATCTCTCACCCTGCACAAAACTCAAATTGAAACGGATCAAAGACTTAGGAATTAGACTGGGGACCTAGTAACTGCTAGAAGAAAAAAATAGGGTCAATACACATCATGCAGGTGCTGGCACAAACTTCCTTAACAAGACCCTCCCCCTGAAAAAAAACCCAAACCAACAAGCAATAAGTGGGATGCCATAAAACTGAAAATCTTCAGCAAAGAAAAGGAAACAAGAGTGTGAAGAGAGAGCCTACAGAGTGGGAGAAAATCGTGACCAACTACTTCTCTGATAGGAAATTAACATCAGAATGTACAAAGAACTTAAAAAAACTTATCACCAAAATAAAAATAACCCAATCAATATATGGGGAAAAGAACTAAACAGAAATTTTTCAAGAAATGCATCTAGTCAACCAATATATGGAAAAAAAGTTCAATATTTCTAGCAATCCAAGAAATACAAATCAAGTAAGATTCCATCTCATTCCAGTAAGAATGACAATGATAAAAAAATATGAACAATAATGAATGCTGGCAAGGTTGTAGGGAAAAGTGTTCCATTGTTGGTGGGACTGTAGCCTAGTACAATCACTCTCGAAAGCAGTATGGAGATTCCTCAACAATATAGGGATGGAACCAGCATATGACCCAGCCATTATGCTCCTTGGTGTTTTCCCAAAAGATCTAAAATTGGCACACTACAGTGATACAGGCACCTCAATGTTATAGCAAATTCACAATAGCTACATAATGGAATCAACCCAGATGCCAGTCAATAGAAGAATGGATTAAGAAATTGTGATTGATGTATACATATGCGTGTGTGTGTGTGTGTGTGTGTGTGTGTGTGTATGGAGTTCTAATTCAACTGTAAAAATGAATTAAATTATGGCATTTGCTGGTAAACGGGCGGAAATGGAGAATATCATGCTAAGTGCAATAAGTCAGAAACTCAAAGGTCAAAGGCTTTCTCTCATATGTGAAAGAAAGCTAGAGTAAAATAAACAAAAGGGGGAGAGAAGGATAGGATAACATAAGTGAAGGTCAGCAATGTAGAAGAAGGAGATCAAGAGGCAGAGCAGAGGGATAGGTAAGGGTGACAATGCAGAATGAATTCTTAAAAAGTAATGTTATGTGAAGACATAAATATATCACGGGGAACTTCACCTTTATGCAGATGGATAAAGGACCAAATATAAATTAATAGATGAGCAAAAGGAAGTCTGCTAGGTAGAGGAAGGAGAATGGGAAAGAGGGAGAGAGTACGAGAGTTTAATGGATAGATCATGAACTGAAATTGAATTCCATGCATGTATGCATTTGTCAGGATGAACCCAACTGCTATCAAATAAAACTCTAATTAAAGAAAAGATCATAAACACAATAAACTGTGGTTTCAAAGTTCCTCTTCACTTAATACACACATTTTAACATATATTTATATCTATACATATATATTTGTGTGTTTATAGAAAGAAATAGTGTATGTGTACGTATGTACATATGTGTGAGTGTGTGTGTGTATGTATATGTGTGTATGTGTATATATATATATATATATATATTATTTATGTGTGTTGCTTAGAACCCAGGGCCCCTCACAGATGCTAGGCAAGTGTTCTATCACTGAGCTACATCCTCAAATTCACATTAATATATTTATTTCTGATTCTGTTGGTAAGCAAAGTTCATTGGATGCTTCTTCATTATTTCTGGGGCAAAGTAATAAGAAGATGAATGGCAGAAATAAAAAAACTTTGTGCAGGTACCCCACCATTGAGATACAAGACACAAATAATGACAGTCTTCAAGAGCTGTCACTATCCTTTTGCCAAATACTTACAGGTAGTCTGAAGGGCCATTATATCTGTGCTGATGTTGGTCATATTTTAATGTCGCTCTCATGAATTGACACAATAGATGTACGAATAGAAAAACATTTGGGAGATTCTAGAGGCACAGGGCTGAGATTTTCTAAGAAAAAGTGCTAATGCTTTAAATCTCTGACAGGTTCTCCCTGTGTATTTCCCTATTTCTTCTGGCTGCACAGCAAGAGTGTAAAAGCCATGCCTGCTTGAGAGCACCTGAGCACTAAGGAAAGGCCAGATACCAGTGGAGGAGATCCACTTAATTCACTCAGCACTAGCATTAATATTCTTTCTTGGATTTGCCTTTTCATGCTGTGGCAATGGGTAAAAGCCCGTGAACAAAGGCCATGGGTATGAGACTAGGGGAAAAGGACCAAATTTTCAACTCCAAAATGAAGCTTCCAGATTATGAGTACTTGTATTTCCACATAGACTAGCTCATCAGGGCACTGCAATAAGCTTTGGGAAAAGAACTATTGCAAGATAGAGGGTCACTTCACTAAAACACCCCTCTGTATTCAGTTAGGACCTGGGTACCAAATGCCCTGGGCCAGAACCCTCCAAATATAGACAGGTGTGAGATGCATCACCACTAAAAGGAAGAAATATATAAAATTTATAAGGCCAGTGTTTGCACTTTGTTCAACACTTTAATATCTTCTCTCTTGTTCTCCCACATGGTTATACTGATGAGTGATATAAGCATAGTACTTAAACACTGTATCTTAATAAAGGTGCTTGGAACTGTGCTCCAAGCACACAGGGCCACATAGAAACTGTGACAGTGATGGTGATTTAGAAGGAATAACATTGGATTAAATGTTCAAAATGCCACAACAGTTTTAGTAGAAGATGAATACTCCTGAAATGTGGACCAGTGGAATTATGATGTGTGATAACTAAATAGGTTTTCCTTTCCAAGTTCCGATAAATCTGGAAATGCAGACTACATTTACACTCTTTTATCAACCTTGTTCTCAAGAAGACAGACAAATGGAAGATAAGGACATGCACATTCCACACCCTTCTACCCATGTAGCAGTGAGGAAACAATTAAATGGGTGGGAGGGAGAGCAACAGGAAAGCAGTGTCAGCATACCTGGTTGACACAACCGTGGGCAGGGCGTCCACTTGCTGAAAGCAGTCACAATGCAGTCTTTCTTGCATGAGAGGAAGCAAGGTCGCACAGTTTCTGGTCGAGTCGAATCTGGACATCTGTCAGTATGAAGAGACTATGTCATTGCCTCTGGGGGACTATAAGTGATTTAACAGAATTGCAGCATTTCAATAGAACTGAGGATACTGAGGCCCTCTTGTTCCTTTTATAGATGAGGGAAGAAGGATCCAGGGATGTAAAGCTACATGCTCAGGTGCTCACAGCTAGAGGCAGAGCCCAAAGCACACTGGACTCTCTTGACCCAGACCCAAAACACTTTTCTCTAAACCAGGAATACAACATTCCCTGACACTAAAGAAAGTCAAATACCAAATAAGTGTCTGGTCAACAGCATCAATTCAAATAGTATTTGATTTCTTTTTCAGAACAAATGAGATTTTTTTTGAAAAGTGTATTATTCAAGGTGACACAGCAAATACGTGATGATATCCCACAAAAGGAAAAGAAAAATGCAAAGTCATATATGGATATACTGAGACAAAAAACATCAAACATCACTTAAAAATATTGTGCATCTTTGATCATTAATAAAAGAATAAATAATCAATACATTTTCTATAGAACATATAGGTTGATGAAGAAAGTAAGATATGATAGTCTGAAAATAATATACTGGCTAGAAACATCAATTTTGTTATTATGTGGATAATTAATTGGATGTGCATATGTGGAAGGAAATTAATACATATAGTCAATGGACTCATAGGCACTTAGAAGAAATGAAGTTCAGAAAACAGCAAAATAGTTTTGTTTGCCTCATTGTTTCCAAGGGCACAGAGGGCTAAAAATCAGCTTTACCTACAACTGTGATACTCCATGAAGGAAACAGGGAAGCACTTTGCAACAACATGTATTTGGGTTTCCAATGCTGTTTCCCTAGGCTTCCTATGAAGCAGAGCGCAGCATGCATAGAATTTAACACATGAACTGAGCAGCAGCTACCTGGTGCACAGCTTATAAGTACTTCACCTATGTTACGATTTATATATGAGGTGTCCTCCAGAAGCTCATGTGTGAGACAATGCAAGAAATTTTGGAAGTAAAATGTTTGGGTTATGAGAACTTTAACCTAATCAATGCATTAATTCAATGATATGGATTAACTTGGTGGTTTCTGCAGGACAAGTAGGGTAGAGATGGAGGTGGTCACTGGGGTTGTGCCTTTCAGGTTTGTGTTTCGTCCCTGGTGAACAGAACTCTCTGCTTCCTCATTGCCATGTTCTGAGCTGCCTTCCTTCATCACACCTTTCCATCACAATGTTCTGCCTCACCTCTGGACCAAAACTGTGGTGTTGGTCAAAGGTGGACTGAGACCTCTAAAACTAGGAACTAGAAATAAAATTTTCCTCTTCAACATTGTTCCTTTCAGGTCTTTCATCACAGCAATGTAAAATCTGACTAAAACAGCCTACATTTTTTTTTCCATTTGCTCCTAACAGCAGTGTAAATCTTAATTTTCATATGATAAACTGATATGCTGAAATAAGTAGTGGGCCCAAGGGCACATGAAGACAATGCACTTGCACAGAATTATGATAGAAAAATCACAGTCTATCAATTTTAACCTGATAATCAATAGACACCTCATATATAAATCATAACATAGGTGAAGTACTTATAAGCTGTGCACCAGGCAGCCGCTGCTCAGTTCATGTGTTAAGTTCTACGCATGCTGCGCTCTGCTTCAGTGGGAGAAAACAGAGAAAATGGAGGTGATAATTCTAACAAGGAAATAATAGGCTATAATGTCACAGAGCCAACACACAGATGAAAATTCAGAGTGAAAGATCCACCAAGTGTATACAAAATATTCAACATGAAAACACTAGTGTTAGGGAACAGACAGATGAGGATGGTGGGAACAAGAGGTTAAGAGAATAATTCTAGCTGACCCCCACAGTCTTTCTTTTCTAAGAAGCAATTTACCTGCAGCCCCGCCTGGCCTCAATGGACAGGAAATGTCACATTCCTCAGTAAACTACCTGTTTACTGCAAGAGAAATGCAGGCCCAAAATAATGTTGATAAGAGGAACCCAGGTTACCCTGAAAGGGGAGACTTTTGTAACCAGATCCTGAAACTCTGGGAGATAAGGATAATTCTAACTATAAATTCTGTAAGAATATATGGTTAAGAATCCAATTAGAACCAATCAACATGGGCCAAGGTGACCTAGAATTGCCATGACATGGGAGACTAGAAAGTCTGATGTCAACCTGCTGTCAGTCAAAATTAAGACTGAGAGGACCCACTCTCTACCTTGAGAGTATCCCTTTTCCCTTTTTCCTATTCCTTCAATAAATTCATTCTTGTTACTCTGAGGGACATGTCTAAAATCTCTCTAACTTCATCATAAGAATTGGAGTTTAAAGAGGGGGTCTTCATGTTGCCTCAATGTCTCAGAAGGCCCCAGATCTATAACACAAGGACTGTTCAAATTTTAAACACAGAATATGAGAAGAATTAATCATGGTTGATACAAAAAGAAAAATAGATTACTTAAGGGAGAAGAATCTGACTGACATCAGACCACAACTGGCATTGCTATCAAAATGAAAGCATTTGCACAGTTTTAAAATTTTAGGAACACTATAAAGTATGGGAGATTGAATTTTGCTTTGGAAAGGAATGTTCCAAAACATCATTGCTGCCACAGTGAGATAAAGATGCAGTGGATGAAAGATGGAGATAGAAGGGGTAGGAGAGGGTGGAAGTTTGAGTGTTCTTGTCCAAATAAGCAGGTATTGAGAGACTTCACCTGAGTGTAAGTGAAGTGAGAAAGCAAAGTTGTTAGGGATGCAATGTTTGCATCCCCAAAATTCACCTGTTGAAATCCTAAGCCTCCATGTGATGGCATTGGAAGCTGAGGCCGTTAGGAGGTGACTAGCTCAGGAAGATAGAGCTCTCATGAATGGGACTAGTACCCTTACAAGGACAGAAACAAGAAAACTTGCTCCCTCCCTCTGCTCTGTGCAGACATACCAAGGCCAATGGCAAACCTGGAAGAGGCAGGAACCTGAATTAGAACTGACCAGACTGTCACCCTAGAGACTTCCCTCCTCTAAAACTATGAGAAATAAATGTTTGTTGTTTAGGCCACTTGGTCTATGGCACTTTTGGTATAGCCATCCAAACTAAGACAGATGCCCTTAAGAATATTAATCAAAAGTACTAATGTAACCAACAAACAGAATGCCACATGATGGATGGAGTTAGCAGAAAGGAGCTAAGGCTCATTACTTTTATGGGAACTAATCAAGGGATGACCATTTAAAATTGATAAACAAAGAGGTGATGTGAATAATTAATATAAATATAAAAAACATCATTAGAAGTTAGGAGGTCAGCAACAGAAAGGGAGAATAGGGAAGAGGGTATATCAGTGTTTGCCATTTAGACATAAGACACAGCACAAATAGATAAGGCACTAACACAGTAGTACTGGGCAGGACGGAAGGAGGGAAGGGTGGATGGCAGCAGGGGTGGCACTAGGCTTCACACTTTTCACCTTTATAGACTTATGATTGGTGAACTAACTGGGTACTCACTAAACCAAAAGAGAGAAAAAGCAACATTGTCAAAAAAAAAAAATGGGTTTTGTTTGGGAAGTGGGATAGAAAGTGAAATAGGCGGATGGTTAGAAATCTATTGCTTTTGATCATCAATCCCTTTGTATTATTTTATTCTATTCTGGAACATATAATGCTTTCATAAAAATAACAAAAGTAAAAAATGTATATATCCACAAAAATATCACTCAATAAATTACTATTAGTGGCATTATTATTAACCATTCCTAATACACACACAAATACACATTCAGTTCAATCAAATGCATCCATTCCATGAGCGAAACAATAGAAAGAAGAGTATGAGAGTTGAAGGATATAGTTTCACTTAAGCAAGCCACTCTGGTAAGGGAAATTTATATCATAGCTTAGTAAAGATAGCAAAACCCACTAAAATCATTCCTAAATCCATTGTTCATACCCTGAGGTCTACTAAAAATAAATTGAACTGCCATTTATTCTAACGCCTCTGCAACCTCTCCTGGTACACTGTTGCAAGTGATGAAGTGCCACTTGAGTAATGCCTATTCTTGTATGAACTGAGGGTCACAGGGTAGGGGACCCACTTCCTCCGAAACTTTCCCATCAAACACTCCTTCAAAAGCTCACCCAACAGCCCAGAAAGATGAGTGCCAGGAGTGAAGCTTTCTACAGAGGGTTGATCATACTGAAGGACTTCCTTCACTGCAATTAGGAGTAGGTGTTAAAGTCTTTGGGGGGAGCTGATATTGCCTTCTTCATTGACTATTTACTAGAAGCACTCACAATAAAGGTTCACCGGAAATAACGTCCACTCTCCATAAGGGAGAGAGTGAACAGAAACAGCCTCACTGTCTCAGTGGCAAAGGTCAGGCCTGGGCTTACAGTGTTTTTATAGAAGCAATGAACTGAGGGCTTTCCTGGACGTGCAAGTGATTCCTGGTCTGAGAAGGGCCAAATTTTCTCTTGCCTGTGAAATTGTCTTTTTGTTCATTTTTTCTGCTAGTAAGGTTTACCTTTTCCTCATGGGTTCAACTTCCTCTTCCTATTTATCTACATGTTTCTATCCCTTCATGTATCGACACATTTTAATTTCTTGTCAGTGTTCAAAAAAAAATCATCGACTATTAGCAACTTAAGTGTCTTTGATTTCCAAAACAATACAAAGTTTATTTTCTGTATTATTTTGGACACTGACCAAAACATGGCCTTTGACATCTTTCATGCTGTTTGAGGTATGTGTGTGCTATACACAAGACAGGTGCTGTGCATACACTGATTTTGAATGTCTTGAGGGTGTAATTCCATCTTACACCATATCTTTAAAATGCCAGATCTTTCCTTGGTATAATCAGAAGCAGTAAATAAATCATTAAATACTATTTTATACTATTGAAGCCAAAAGACAAATCCCTGGAGAATATGTGGGAAACTTTTTCAGCCATTTCTAAAATAAGAATTGCATGCTTAAAAACCAGGAAAACGTAAGGATTCACTTTTTGGTCAGTAATCAAATTAATGCTCTGCACCTTTTGTGATAATTTATGCATCCTACTTTCAGGAAAACATGTTGATCCTGGATTGGCACTGCTGTTGATAAAATGTGAATTTATTCATTTCAGTACATTTATTTTCCTGAACTTGCACTGGGATGCTCTGTTGTATTGTCTCTTGGTTATCCTGTAGGCCCCAGCTTTTTATAAGCACTGTGCAGAAATGCATCAAGCTGAGCTACCTAGCCTGCCATTCTTCATGATGCCTCTATCAACAAGATGCACACACAACGCTCCATCTCCCTGATCACTCGTCCGACCCAGGACAGAGTGTATTCATCTCCCTCAGCTAGATGGGGCAAATCTGCCAACTTTTTATACATTAAGTGTTTAAATGGATCTATTTATTACTATATCTCACACAAATGCCAGGTGTTTTCACACTGAAGGCAGAAAGTGCCTTATCAGGAACTTTCGAAGACTTTTAATCGTGTGTTTGAATCTTTGTTATTATTAATTTTTGGACATTGTAAGTGCAAAAAAAAAAAAAAACATTGAATAGTGAAACAAAACCAAATAATACTCCAAAAATATCCCAACAAGCTCTCACTTCTGGTTCAGTTGGGCCCTAGCTAGTTCTCATTTTCTGATATGATCAGTTCTATTACACATACAATGGTAACTTTCTCACCGACACAATTACATGGAAACGGAAGCACCAACCCAGGGTGGCAAGAACTTGCAAGAAACTCTGGGCTTCACAGTACAGTGAATTTACAGATAAAAACACATTATTTTAGCCCATTTATTCCATGGAGACAGACTTCCTTTTCTCTACTCTGAAATATTCTTTAGGAAACTTTCTTCTTCCTGCCTGTTTCTATTCCCATATTCCCACCCTCAGGAGTTCACAAGTTACTAGGGGTCTACTTCCATTGTAATGGCTTTCATGTGAAAAAGAATAAAATACATATTTTTTGGAAAGAATAGAGCAATGAATACTTTCTACTGCTGATAATCTTACTAGATGCTTCACTGGACATTAGGTATTATTTTCTTAGCTCAATTAATTTCATTAACCTCAAGAATTTTAATTAAGTAAATTGATGGAAGTCAAGGAAGGCTGCTCATTTTAAGCAGGATTGTTTAGAGACATACATACATTAAGAATCAAAATTAGGTTGTTAAGTCTCCAGTCTCACTGACAGTGCAAAGAATAACTAGCATTAGCAATGCCTTTCAGGACACACACACACACACACACACACACATATGTGTGGGGGGAGATTGGGGAAAGATTTGTGTGAATGATTTTTCTGTGTTGATAAGCTGTAGCAAACTAGAAGTTATTCACTGTAATAATATTTCAGTCTCACATATGTGAATTTTCAAACAAATACATATTAGTTTATGAATTATACTTTAAAATGTAAACCTCCAGTAATCACACATCATTTTTTTAAATGTATTTGTTGGTGCATGTTAATTATGCAGAATGGGAGGTTTCACTGTGGCCCAGTCATGCTTCACGCATCTTTAAGTTAACATACAAGTAAACTGTGCTCAGAAACCTTTATTAAAATTGTTATTCAAAGTAATTATTAGATACAAAAGGAAATTGAGGACTATTTTGAACATATAACTCAGCTTTTCCTGTCCAAATAGTCCTTTAAAATGTGATAATTTATTCAGTAGATGTCAGTCTCAATTCTAATGCCCCTTTGCTAAGAAATGAACAAATTATATTCACGTCAAGTAGATTTTAACTGCTGTTCAGAGCAGAAAAGTTTCTTAGAAGAGAGATCAAACTTCAGGAATACTAAATTTTCTTATCACTATAAAGAATAATAGCTTACTGCATTCTGTGTGGGGTTTATTCCTATACCTAAGCCATACTTATTTTTACGTCCATCATAATGTTTCCAACATCTTTTTTAAAAAGTTGAAAATCTGGGTCATAAAACTAAACATTATCAAGGCTGCAGTCCTTCTCAGATAAAGGAGTCCCCAACTCTGCATAATGCCATCAAAAGCCTTTCAGGATTTCAGCATTTCCATTTAGCCTCCTGAATTAGATTACCACCTGAATCAGGTGACATAAAATGTTACAGTCCATGTTTGTCCATAACCGCACTGATTCATCAATTGCATTTGATCTATGTGGCACTATGACTAAAAGGCAAGTTGAAAAATAGAAGTGAAAAACACTGATATTCCCCCAAACATCATAAATCTTATACAGCTTTATTCTAGGGCAGAAATAATATTTATGGGTCAATAAGAGTACATCAAGTGTATGACCACTCATTGCTCTTCATGATAGCCCCCTTTGCCCAAATTTAGCTATGGTAAATATATATTTCCTTTGTTTATTGAAGCAAATGATAAACATTTAACTTCTCTTGATTCCCTGCCTTTCATATCCAATCCTTGTCAAACCCTATTGCTCCCCTACCCAGAGGTGTGGTTCACTCATGAATTCCAGAAATGCTTACGGGACATTAACTACATGACAAATGCTACTAAAGATTATTTATTGTTGCAACAATAAAAAACAATCAAGGGGCTGGGATTGTAGAGTGCATGCTTCACACATATGAAGTACTGGGTTCTATCCTCAACACCACATAAACATAAATTTTTAAAAGAGGTATGCATATATGTGTATATATATGTGATAATTTATATATATATATATATATATATATATATATATATGAGAAAAACACATTAAAAACACTCAATCCCAGCTCTCTGTAAGCCATATTTAGGAGGAAGGATTGGTAAGGTCTGCCTGGCCATGCTTAGCTTCAAGTTATGCTTACCTTTGCATGTATTTGCAGAACTACCTGTTACTTGGCTGCTGGGGCACAAGCAGTGGGCAAAATCTCGTCAGTCTTCACTCTTTCTTCTATGAGCATCTCCTTTGCTTTAACTGAGCTTCTAGGACTTTCCTTACACATGCCCAAAGTACACAAAATTATGAATAAGGTCCAGGGCCCTTCACCACAGGGCTACAGATGAAACTATTCTGCTGTTTGAGTTTGCCAATGACAGGGACCCAAATTAGACCACAATAGGTAGAGGAGCAAAAGGGCATATCTATGTTGCCACAAAGGGCCGGGGTGTAGGAAGGAGGGATGGAACCAGAGTTTGATGCTGTCAGAATTTTTTCTGCCTACATTTCTGCTTCTTTCTGAGCATCAGCATATTCTCTCCTGCCTTTTCCACCAGTCCTGATCATGGCTGTCACAGTTTCTAGTTCAAAGGCTTAGAAAAACTAGGCACAGAAAGAAAGAAGACTTAGATTTTCCCAATTTGAAAATTCCTGGAGAAACAGACTACGTGGTTGATCTTTTCATATCAGACCAAAGATTCCACCAGCCCATCCTGGTGACCTGCAACTCCTGTGGCTGGGATGGGGTCTCCAAATTCAGCCACTGGATAATATCTGTGGTTATGGCAGTCATCACTTTGAACAGAGCATAGGTCCCTATATTTTCTTCTTTACCAGTCTTCCCATGAAAAAGAAATATCTAGAGAAGAAATTTCCACAGCTGAGTTCTGCAGTCAATTACTTTTTCCCTTCCATCACTTACAATTCTCTTTGACCCTTTTTGAAATCTATATTCTAGTTACTATGTTCATATTTCTTCCTGTTTTAAAAAAAATAGTATCTCCAAGTTCAGAGAGTATAAAAAGCATGCAATTATATTTTCCTTTAGGGTATGAATTAGTCCAATCAAAATAGCTGTCTGGATTTATCTGCTCACTTCTGGAAAGGTCAGAGTGAACAACCCTATAATTCAAAGTTTAGTACCTTTTTGTTCACTGAATCTATGTGATTTGAGAAGAGTCAATAATAATAAGATCAGTACTAGAATGCTTGTTTGATTATTCAAACACATTCAGTGTTTTTGGACATTGCTCACTTTTACATATTGAATAATACATATAACATAAACAAAACTAGTTGTACCTATTATAAGTGTGTTCCTCTTTAAAGCATATCTTCCTTTAGGTCTTCAAGGGTCAAACAAAAATAATAACAATAAAATACCTCTTATGCTACCACTGACCCAAGCATATCAGTTGTCTGATAAATTTTTTCAATTAAAAATATGCAAGTATGCAATAATGATATGCACTTTCACTAATAGGCTAATATACCTTTTGGTCATCACTTGTCCCACGTGACTTTTGACACAGAAGACCCTCCGTGTCTGAATGCCCACACCACATGTAGCTTCTCCATTCCAGCCAACAGTTGCATTAAGTGCAGTTACCAATGTGTTTTCAGAACAGGGGCCCCAAGGCGATGTCTCCCAATAAAGTTGCATACAGGGGTGGTCGTTGCATACACGATATTCTTGAAGAGCCTGACTAGGAGGACATGGCTTTCCACCTGCAGAAAATTAAAATATAGCATCATACATAACTGTTGGTTTTGCTGTTATTGCTGTTCTTATGATTTTAGATGTTTTAATGATCCAAAGACCTGAGCCACTGAACCTTTTGTTCCACTCTAAGATCAAGGATTTCGGTCTTGACATCAACCTCAGGATAATATATTATAGGCATCTGTCCACACCAAATAGATTATAAAATTAATGCACTAGCCTCTCCGCCTCTGGAGCATGCGCCTCTGAGATAAACTCACAAAGAAAACATTTAATATTATTATGCCTACATGAATTAATCAGTCAGACAGAACAGTCCTTGACCTTGAAATAATATTACATGAGACATGCGTGATATATACATGTGTATCTATACATAGATTCCCTTTCCTAAGAAAGGCATTATTTTTCTCAGAGAACCATTTTTAATATACCCATTCTCCAGCAAGCAGTGCATTTTATTGCAACTTGAGAAATCCAAAAGTATCTGTTGCAGTCTGGGAGTAGAGGGCTCAACCTAGAGCTCTGAAATTATATCTGACAGTGCGATCCACTGGGAGGGAGACCAGACAGATGTATATCCTTACAGTCTTAGGTGAATCAGATAATCAAATATCATTACTGTCTTTTTGTTCACATTTTACTATTAATGTAAAAAGTGGTATTTATCTGAAGTATTGATCTTTTCCTACTCTTCTACACTATAATGTTTTATTCAGTAGGCTAAATGCACAAGATTTGTAACTCTGGTTCTATTATTCTCATTATTGTTTTTTTTATCCAATTAAATACTACTAACTTTTTGTTTTCTTTTTCCAGAAATACAGAACAAGAGAGGTACAGAACTACATTTTAAAAATATGAAAATGTTCCTTTATCTTGACACTGGCCCCATTTCTGGGGCTCACAGAGCAAAATCTTGGTTAAGAAGGAGTTCCTCACAGCCATGGCCTCACTATCCTGTCGCTCTAGTGGAGCTGAAGTCAGAGTCAACAGAAATCATGAAAGCAATGATGTGTGTATCTGGGGACAGAGATCATTGTTATGAATGATAAGAACAGCTGCTCCTCTAATTTGTTCTGAAGTCACTGCTCACATTTCCACCACACTTTTTTACCATCTTCAAAACCATCTCCACAGCTGCCATACACTCTCTCTGCCCTTGGCAGGCAGGTAAGGCAGAACCGGAAGCCAGGGGACCTGGATAAGGTAGCCTATTGATGTCACTGGCAGCTCTTGATCAAGGAACCAGGTCTCCTGATTCCTAATTTGGAACTCTTCTTACAGGCATATTCAATATGCCCCAGTTACCTAATCTGAAACTGGAAGAATTTCAACTGGAGGAGTTTCAACTTTGCTTTCTTCTCTAAGACATATATAAAGAAAAACAATATTCAATTCTTTGAGGTGAGCCATGTATGGATCGTCTAAAGTAATTTATATGACTAAGTAACTGCAGCTTAGATCAACTAGAAGACTAAGAATAAAGAAAAAGAAAGGATGCATGGAAATGAAATTGTTAATGTGGAGTCAGGGAATAGAGATAACACCCAGGTGTAGCTATTTCCACAGCATACATGTACTTGTCTATTGGAAAAAAAATAAGAATCTAGCCAGTGAATCCAGAGCTGAAACCTTTTCTGTTGCTCACCTTCTCCAGCCAGTGCCAGGATAGATCTTGATCTGGTCTGTTTCCCATCTGAGTTTTTATTTGAACAGGACTGGGAACAGGATGACCATACTGTCCACTCGCTCACTACACAATCCATTCGGCAGGGAATTTCACAGGCCATCCGCTCTGGAGGAGGAGGTATGGGGCAAAGACTCCCTGCTACATCTTCACCTGTGATCAACCAGATAGAGACAGACACTGATTAATTCACAATCTATGTCAGTCCAAGGAACATTTAGATTCATTGTTTCCCCTATTATTTCAGTTTCGCTCAGAAGACTTCATCCAGTGTCTAAATCGATAATGCAACAAAAATTATGTTTTCTTCAGCTATTCGTGTTTGCATCAAGAAAAACTACCAAGAGATAATTTGGAATTTAGGAAGGCAGATACCACAGCAAAATTCCATTTGTCATTATTAATAGGGACGCAGATGATTTCTTCCAGAAAAAAAAATGTAGATACAGATGATCAAAGATAACTATGATTCACATGTTATTGACAAACAAAAGTAACAAATATACACTTTTCTTCAAAATGGAGGTCAGAGTAGCCTAAAAACTGAAATTATGCTGAACATTATAGTCTACCCTAAAAAGAATTTTATTATTCTAATTCTCCTTTGGGTGCTTTCACCTCTAAAAACATAATCTTTTCACTTGATGACTTTGTCATCTTGGTGCACAGTGGTAAATAATCTGAAGCTATAGAACCTGCCTGTAGCTGAAATTATATAATGCACTGACCCAAAAGTTGAAAGTCAGTCTGAAGTTATCCCTGGTGAATTTACTATTTCCCCTTTGAATAATCTAATGATTGCTAACCCAAAAACATAACTCAATTTTTTTTTTTAAAAAAGGGAAAGAGACACATCAGATATCAAGAATTACCAATTTTGCTATTGATATTGATATTTGCTATTTATCTTTTTATAAATACTACCTAACAATCCTCTGATATATCACAGTGCAAGATTTTTCAGAAACTTTAAAATAATGAAGCTTTTTCCAGATTTGGTGGCACTAGCCTGTAATCCCAGTGAACTGGAAAGCTAAAGCAGGAGGATTTCAAGTTCAAGGCCAGCACCAGCAACTTAGTGAGATTCTGTTTCAAAATAAAAAAATTAAAAGGACTGTGGTCTGGGTATGTGTCTTAGTGATAGAGCCATTGTCTAGCAGATGTGGGACCCTGGGTTTGATTCCCAACATGGAAAGAAAAAAAAAGAAAGAAGGAAAGAAAAAAAAGAAAAACTACTGAAGCACTAGGAATCTAGGGATGCAGCTTAGTGGCAAAGCACCCCCAAATTGGGTTGAGTCCTCACTACCAATATATATGCATACAGACATTTTAAATAAAATAATGAAGGATATTTTTTTAATAACGAACAGATATTAAGACTAACAGGATGGTTTCTAATTTGCTTTTCTGTATCTCAAAAGATTACAAAGATTTATAAAAAAATTCTCTTTCAGGTTCTTTATTCACTATTACAAATCTTTAGAGATAATGATTTGATTCTTATTATTCCCCCATCCACAGTCTCCTCATAAAAACAAAGGACAGAAAGAATAGTGACACCATTTATTGTTTGAAATAACAACATAAAATGTGGAATGGCAACCATAGGAGACAGGCAGTTTTATCGGAGTGACTTTATAGTTTTGGAATTCTCTTGTCATGAATTGTCTCCTGCAAAAAATAATTGCAAAGGGGACAAGTATTTATTGAGGACCTCCTTGGTGTAAGTCTCTGTGTTTTGCACACATTTTTCAGGCTTACGATGTGTCATTGAATCCTCATTAGAAGCTCTGATAGGCAGGAGTAATCCATCTCATCTCACCAATGAGGAGTCAGAAGCTCAGAAGGGTAAATTGGCTCAGGTCACAAGCCTGAGCTGGGAATTACATCCAAACCCCCTGACTTTAGAACTCTGTTTTTCCTATTAGCTGTGCTGTGTCTAATTCCAAGGAGATGGATATTCCTTTTTCTGAGGAAGTAAATAAAACAAGCTGACAGTTGCAAGACTGCCTGAAGGAGAAGATCCTGCACAGCTCATATCCGCATTCATATTTGTAAATGAGGCCAGGCTCAGTGCCCTTGAGGTACAAATAAAACTTTTCAAGCATATTATGAGAAGTAATAGAGATTCCAGCAGATAATCAAGCTGAAAGACCAGTTTCAATCATTCTCTTTTCAGTAACAATCTAATTTCAGGTTGAGTCCACATTGTGTGCACACCCTGCCCCTACCCCACCCCACCCCCACGCCAATACAGCTAAGGGGCAGCACTTTCTCAAGTACAGAAGCAGGCAGGCCAAAGAGAAGCCTAACCTACATCTAATCAAAATTTAATTCCAACACTTGTGAATTCCATTAGCATAATTTTTTACACAAAACACTCTAACGCAGTGTCTTGCAAAGAGCATTTCGAGGAATAAGGGATGTCCATAGGAGTCTTATGAAGAAAAAGTACAGGGGGGAGTTGAGAAATGCTTGGTTAAAAATAGCAAAACTGGTCCCATATTTGAAAACTTTTCAGTGTTGAAAATGCAAATACACACAAGAAATATTCTAGGCAGGAAATGAGATGTAGGGCACTTCTATCTCATTTCATCAATGGCCATCTGGTTTTAGGAGTATCCACTCACCCGGAAGTGGCATTTTTATGAAAAAACTTTAAGAAAATTCTGTCTTGAACAATCATAAAATATCAATTACTATTTAATGAGCACATATTATGTCCAAGACCAATAATGGGATAAAAATAGATGGAGATTACTATTATTTACCTTCCTCAAGCTCATGATTAATGATGGAGGTGAAACATGCACACATAAAAGAAAATCCAAAAGTAAATGTCACATTGAAAATACATGATTCAAAGAGAAAATATTGTAGTGATTCATAGAATAGAAACATCTGCTCGGAAACGGAATAAACCTTTTAATAGAGTACAGAGAAGGGCTGAGGTTGCCAGCAATGAGGGGGTATGTCTGGCAGGAGAAGCATCAACTAAGGTACAGTGTAGGAAAATAAAGCTATTTGAAAGGCAGTTAATGTTGATGATACATGAAGAAAAGAGAAAAACATATGGGAAGAGTTATCGGACATCAAATTCTGAATGAGTGATATGGGCACAAGTATTGTTTTATCGGTCTTCCTTAAGATCCCAGTTGTTTTGGTTTCCCATGATTCAAATTTCACACACACACACACACACACACACACACACACACCATTCCTGGCATCCCAGTCCTTACATATCCAGGGCCTTTAGGATTGACTTCAGGTGATTGAACCAAACATCTTTTACAACCCAAGTTTTCTTGTAATCTGATACACCTGTTACATCAGTACAGTTAAATGTCAATACTCCCACCAATATTTTGATAGTTTGTTTACACAGGCTAATTCAGGAGTGTGATCAAACAGATCAGACTTTCATTTTTTTTCTGTACTGGGCAGTTTATCCACTATTAGGCTACTTCCCCAGTCCCAGAGCACTATATATACGTATGTGTATGTGTATGTGTGTGTGTGTATATATTTGTAGTGTGTATATATATATATATATATATATATATATATATTTGTAGTCGACACAATACATTTATTTATTTATTTATATGTGGTTCTGAGGATCAAACCCAGGATGTCACATGTGTAAGGTGAGTGCTCTACCACTGAGCCACAACCCCAACCCCCAGAGCAGACTTTTTTTGAGGAAGCCAAACTAACAGTCATAAGGAGACTCTGAAATTCTCCACAGCTGTGTGACCTACTGTATAACAAATCTAGCAAAAGAAAAACTTCACAGTGAATTTTAGCTGCAATGCTTCCTAGCCAAGCACAGGTAAGGGTGAGATGGTGAACACTAGCCACTAACACTCACCCTCTTAAGCATATCATTTGACTTTTTTGAATCTCAGTTATTTCACTGAAATAATGAAATCATGACATTCACCTTTCAGGGACAGTCTAAGGATTAGAATCATTTATGCAGCACACATATTAAGGTATCTAACATACGGCAGGTTTTAAATAGTTAGAAACATTTAAAATGTTGTTTGCAAAGATACTTAGCACAAAAAACTGAGAGCCTTGAACTGAAAAATCTGGAGATTTACATCATGACCATAGAAAGCACTAGCTCCATCATTCATATTGGGTACAAACAACTACCACCAGCTCCACAGACAAGCTCATATAAAGCATAAAGAATATTTATAATTATCCAGATTGTTTCATTGATACGGTTGGCTAATGAAAACTATTTAAGGGCCCAGATAAAGTACCTAGGTCTGAAAAACCTCATCTGCTCACCTATGTTGTTATAATTATGTTCCCATCACACATAGAGAACCCATTGAAAAAGGAGCATTTATGCTTTTCTGTTTTCATGTTCTTGGATGAGACCAACTGAAACCTCAGACAAGCATGAAAAATAAAGTATCACACAGGACAAAAGCTTAGTCATTATGTGGTTATTCACTAGCTCTGATAATCTAATGTCATAATGAAACAGAATATATTTAAGAAGGAAATTGAAGGCATCTTTCAAGATGACTCTATATAATTACTGTTAGCCCTTACCAGATTACCTGGGATCAATAATGACAGACTGTGTTTTTTCCTCATGGAGGGGATTTCTTTAAACCAGTTGTGATTATGGGACTATGGGAAAAAATAATGTAACATGGTGAAATTCATAAGATAATGTTCATCACCCGGGCCTGGTAGCTCATCCCTATAATACCAGTGACTCTGGAGATGGAAGCAGGAGGATCACAAGTTTGAGGCCAGCTTCATCAATTCAGCAAGACCCTGTCTCAAAATTAAAAAGGGAAGAGGGTATAGCTCAGCGGCAAAGCATCCCTGGGTTCAATCCCCAGTACCTCCCCTGACACCGAAACATTAAAGTTATCCATCATAAATTAAACATTTCAGCAGCCTTTAGAATATTCACAGTGGTGTAGAACCATCAGCTTTATGAAGTTGTAAAATATTTTTTTCACTCCAAAGCAAAGTCTTGTACCTGATAAGCAGTTTCTCCCTGTTACTGCTTCCCTTCAGGTTCTGGAAACCACAAACTTAATTCTGTATTTATGGATTTATCTTTTTTGTATATTTCATATACATTTAATTTGTGACCTTTTGACTCTGGTTTCTAC